GCTCTACACTCCCATCGCACACAACTGAGCCACCCGAATTATCGATCAAGACGTGTACTACACTTTTCAGCGTATGTAGAGTACTACAATGTTCAGTGTATTTTTCGCACAACTACAACCATCCAGGATCACACAGGAGGGGGTAAACACCAGGGCTTCTTTATATTTCTTTTCATGCCCCACCTTCCTCCAGCGGTGCGTGCTGAATTTTATTTTTATCGCGAGAAGGGTCCAGCCGTCCCTTTCCCTCGTCANAATTATCGATCAAGACGTGTACTACACTTTTCAGCGTATGTAGAGTACTACAATGTTCAGTGTATTTTTCGCACAACTACAACCATCCAGGATCACACAGGAGGGGGTAAACACCAGGGCTTCTTTATATTTCTTTTCATGCCCCACCTTCCTCCAGCGGTGCGTGCTGAATTTTATTTTTATCGCGAGAAGGGTCCAGCCGTCCCTTTCCCTCGTCATCGGTGCTAACGTCGAAGTTTGGTACTCACGAGAGCTTTTAGCAATATTTCGCTTTCACCCGCAAATTTCGAAAATTTCCACGCCATGGGGATTCGAACTCACGACCTCTGCGACTAGCGGATGACGAGGATACCACTAGACCACCGGGGCGACCGGTCTGTCTCGCAGAAGTGAAGGATAGGGGCCAGAGGAGCAGACGACAGAGTCCAATGATGGGAGAAAACAAAAAAACACCCCGTCGACCAACAAAAAGTAACAGAAAGAGGTTCCCGAGCAGAGCGACATAATGTGCTTGTCCCTCTGTAAGTAGAAGAATTTGATTTGCAGGGTTCCCACCACCTGTGGTACATAGTCTAGTTGTGGAGGCTCTGGTTCCCTAGTAGTTTTGGTCATGGGAGTTGAAAGTTATTCACTCCAACGGAAAGCGTTTTGACGTCTTGTTTTGTTTTTTAAGTGTAAAGTGGAGGTGCTCACAGGTCGTTTCCGACGCCAAGCGGTGCATGTCCAGACTGGACTTCCATTTCTTGTACCGATGTTGATGACATACAATCTGTTCAGAAAAGTCGTTGCCATCTTCCTCTTGCTCTGTGCTGAGGAGGGAGGGATAAAGGCCACACAGCCAACCATATATGTGTTGGCCCGCGTGTGAGACTGTGTACACCTGTGGAGAATTGGGTGCTTGTACAAGTACTCCCGCGAAGAACACAACGGCCGGAGCAGAGACTGTGTAGCTTAAGCACTGGTCGACATTTCACCCTTGCTCTACCCTCTTGCAGGGAGTACTTCGGTGCCATCCGCGTCGTTGGAGCAGATAAAGTGCAGACTGATGAACGTGCGCAGCAGGTGTTCAATTCATCTTTTCACTGTCCGCCCCTCGCAGCATGCTACAGCGCGACAACACATCTTTGTTGCGAAGAATACTTGCCGATGAAGTTGCTATCGTATCTTACCCACCCGATTCCTCATTGTCGCACACTCCACACGCTTGTAGCCAATCCAATCAACTCTCAGCTCGCACGACCTTCCACGCTTTCGCAAACCCTAACCTATCGGCGGTTGCCAGACGCAGCGGCCGTCACCAGTGTGAGCCGACATCTCGTTACCCCAATCTCGCCCGGTCCTTTCGTCCCGCCTACTGCCAGCGCCTCTGCTACCGTGGCCACCAGCCGGTACGACGCCCCCTCATGCAGCTCTGCGCCGCTCGTATCCTTAACCCCGGACGTTTTCCATGAAAAAATGGTGCCCGACGATGGGTGGCGCATGCGCACGGTCGCGGAACCAGCGGCAAAGGGTTTTTTCTTGCTCCATCGCGGGGACGGGCGGGATCGGATGTGGGCACGAGGAAAGCGTCGTCGTTTTGTTCTTTGATGCGGCTTGCTGAAGCTTCTTTCGTAACCGTCTCCGTCGTCGTAGTCGTCCCAATCGTGGTCAGCGTCGTCGCAGTCGACATCCTCATCGTCGAGATCTTCGCTTTCGTCATCGTCTTGGCCTTCTTCGTACCCCAACAAGATGGCCTCTACGACAACCTTGGCTCGGAAGGGGGGATAGGCGCGGGGCGTTTGGAGTCGGTGGCAACCTTCAACTCTTCAGAAAATTGACAATTGACGAGGAGGGCATCTCAGTAAAGGCAACGCTCCCCACCGTCACGCCAAACGCGCAAGTGTCCAAAACGAAACAACAGTGGGCATTGTCTATATGGAGGGAGGGGGGGGGTGTACTCATAGTCGTGCATGCCGTAGTCGTTAGACCATTGACCTCGCATCCCTACAAAGCCGGGACGGAGCACGCCGGGTTCTCACCGGACCAGGCTCTCACATCACCAAGCGCGAAGCGCCGTGAGATATTCGGCGAGTCGCATGAAGGGTGCGCTGCATCCTGCTAAGGGTTTTCGGCATCTTGTGCTTACTTCCTTGCGTACGGATGACAGCTGCGTATGACTTTATTTACTTTCTCGTGCTTTTACTTCCAGAGACAGTTGTAAGCACCGTGTAACTGCCTCGAGGGTGCTTGACCATTTCAACACAACGTGGTGCGATCATCCCCCTTGCGCGGAGTGAGGGTTCACCCCGCACAACATGATCTACTCAACCATCATTATGGTTACCGCCCAAAAAAAAAAAAAGAGGTGAAAAAAAACAAACGGTAACCTGGTTGCCGAGTTCACGAAGTGAATTGGCTTGTTTGACAACGTCGTTGCCAAGCGACGAAAACCCAATCCCGATNAAAAAAAGAGGTGAAAAAAAACAAACGGTAACCTGGTTGCCGAGTTCACGAAGTGAATTGGCTTGTATTACAACGTCGTTGCCAAGCGACGAAAACCCAACCCCGATGACAAACACCGAGGGATGGAGGGAGGGGATGTGTAATTTTCCAAAAAACGAACACCCGATTTTACTTTTGCTGGCAAGGTGGACTATTTGCGCCAATGACCACGACACTGATTAGTAACAGCAAATCCAAGAGCACCATCATCGTGAAGGACAACAACAACACCAATAGCGACCGACGACCAACGAGACATCAACAAGTGTCCCAGCAACAGCGGCTTCAGCAAAAACCGCCAACTCACCCTCAAGAACGAGTCCTTCCCGATTCGATCTCCTACGTAAAGCTGGGACAAGTCCCAACCGGGAGGAGAAATTCCATCGTTGGCCCCTCTTCCTGTCACCGTCAGCGTAGTCTCCGCTGCTTTTGCTCCCTCAAGTGGTCCAGGCGGCGGGGGGGGGATGAGCAACGGCGGATTTGTGGCGGTATCTCAGCTTGCCAAGTCTTTGAAACACATCGTTCATCATTGCGTCACACACAACTCTTCGAACCTTGTACAACATATGATTCACGCCGGTCTTGACCGCCAATGTACCACTTGGCGCTGTGCCTCCGAACCGTTTGCATACGAAGCTCCAGATGGCTGCTGACTCTCAAAGCTTTGAAATACCGTTGTAAATCGTCGATGCAACTGCCATTTGGAGCTGCTGTGCAGAGGCAGGACGAAACAACGCATCGCACGCGCTTGCGCATGTGAGGTATGCGGTCTAACCCCCTATTCCTGAGCATCACCCCGCTTAAGTAGATCATGTGGGTATCCCCCCATATCTTCACCCCTGAGACAAGCAGAACGCAAAACAAACATCTCCGTCAAACCCGGCCAAAAAAGCAGAAGACACAGGCAATGCTATTCCGCGGTGACGGCCACCAAACCCTTATCTCACCTGCAGGAGGCGGTAGTGCTTCACAAGCAGCGCAAGCTCCCGAGGGGTTTTGGCTTCCAGCAGGGGATGTAAACAAGCATTTTCCACCTCGGCAGCGCCGTCAGCATCGACCAAAGACATGGCCTCTGCCGCGAGGGATGCGACATGCTACAGAAAATAGAACACACGGCACGACGCTTCGAGACTGAGAGATGGAATTAGGGGGGTGAACTTTGGGGGGATGATATCGAAAGGTGGCCTGTTGGATCGAGTGTACTCAATACGGAGGTATCCGGCCGCAGAGGGATAATCACAAGGTGAACGCCATTGCCGAGCGACAGCAACACAACGTTAACATCGCCTCCTAAGTCTTGTCTCAGGAAAACGCTCGTGACTCTCTGTTTCTCGGCACTATGTACACCCCCGTCATGTTCGCCCGCCCCTTCCGCCCCCGTCCTAAATTTGCACATATGTACGCATTTAGAATCCCGCCCTCGACACAATCAGTCGTCAACTCGCAGCCATGCTCTCCTTCATATCGGACACGGGGGAAGGCGCCCGAACGAACATGCTCGTTAGCTTCGTTGCCAGATTGTGCCTTCCCGTGGGCTCCAAGCGTGCGGGGTAGTGCTGCTGCCTGTTGCACTGGCAAGGCGTACGCCGCAACCATGAAGATCGCGCACAAAACGCAGTCTGGCAACGAAGCAAACCAACACTGTTGTATTCGGGTCGCGTTTCTCCACATGTTCGATCAAAGAAGAGCACCCTACGGCGAGATCCCGAGGGAAAAACGCACAGAAACGGTGTAATAAGTGCCAAGAGAGAGAGAGTGACGGGGCCAGAACAACGTTTTTCGGAGAACACACATTGGTTCCGGTGTGTCTGCTTCATTCGAGGGGTTGGGTTTGGGTTTTCGTAGAACAAGTCGATACTTTGCAGGTGAGCTCCGACTGGCCATATCAGTAAGCTGCGTCAAAGGAGGACGGTAGGCAAACTCGTGGCATGTATGACGGAGGTATATTCTGAGCATACGCGTATGGAGGTTGCAGTCGGCAGACTGCGTGAACACAGGTGGTGTCTGGCCGCCTTCCACTGAATATCGTGGCTGATGGGGTTCATTTCGCGGTCAGAAGGTCGTGACAGATGAGTATGGTCACGATGTGCTCTTGGTTGGTGTGCTGTAGCAGCAACTCCCACCCACTTGGCAGCCAAATCAAACAAGAATTTTCCACCTCATCCTGGTTTGGACAAGCTGCTTTAGACTCCGCGTTAGCACGAGCTACGCCCACCTGAGTTGCCAAGCACGCTAGCCTCTTGAGACGATCCGAAATGGGGGTAGCTTGATAGGGTAAAGCTTGTTATGGAGCGGGAAAAGGCAAACTCATCGTTCACGCGCCAAGGAGAAGATTCCTTATATTCTCTCCTCTCACCACACTCAGCCGCCCTTACGGGCGGCGACGCCACGTACAACAGGGGTGCCGCGCATATTCCGGATGAACCCATACCGTATACCGAAAGAACGCCATCCCACGGTACCATATCCTTTGAATATACATACCGCACCATCACTTCGCGTCGCTACAAGTTTGTCCATCAAACAACAGCATTCAAGTCGAAACAGCTAATCGACGGCGGGTTCTGCACCGGCTATCCCTCACCTCCACGGAGAACGCCCCACCCATTTCGTCCGTACCAGCATCGTCGCCGCGAAACCCGGAGGACAGCCCTAGGGCAGTCGGCATGCTCATCACCTGGATGCCGGTGTGCGGATGCCGTTACGCCAGCCCCGATGATCATGCACGCAAAAACGGGTTCATACTTCATTGTCTTTTTGAACGGGACGCGCGGCAGGGGCTTTTTTGCTTTAGCAAGGAAAAAGCTGTTTAGAGGGATCGTGATGTATATGTACGAACGTGAAAAAAAAAACAAATTGCACCAGGGGGGGACATTTCTCAGCATGTCTGTCTGTGCGCCTATAAATACACAGGAGATTGGAGCCCATTTCACCATCCAGGCACCAAATGGCAATCTAAGACTTTTGCACAAGAAGTAGCATTTTGCCCGAGCTGTCCCAACTGCTACCTTTTCAATCCGTGGTCGGTGCGTCGAGATAGCACAGCATATGTGCTGAAATAAATCTAGGATCCACGTGTCCCTGCCCAAAACCCCAGGAAGGCGTGATTTGTGTTGTTCCGCCGGTCGGTGTGCTCAGCAGCGCTAGCTGCTGCTGCTGCTGTGGCAACACACTACACAGAGACAGGGCACATGGACAAGGGAGGCGGGAGACACACACACACACACCACCGGGAGAGCGGGGCGGGAGGCTGTGCCCTTACAATACTGCTGTTAGCTACCGGCGGAGGAAGCGAGAGGAGAGAAGCAGAAGCGTTGCGTTGTGCGTTTTGCGAGCGGCAGCGTTTTTGTCATAGCGAGAGAGAGGACAAGAGGCATACCAACACGCTACTAGACACCATTGATGATGCATGTACTGCTGAAACCTCGCTATACTTGTGTGCGAGGGCCTAGGGTGCCGCCTGTGCCTTCCGTGTGCTAGACTGGTCACAAATCACACGGAGTTGGTAGATCAAAGCTCGAACCAGAGAGAGGAACAACAGAGAGGGGAACAACAGAGAGAGGAACAACATAGAGGTAAGTCTGTCTGTGAGATCATGTTTACTTTCGAGAAACATAAAGAGTTTTCCTATTGCGCTGCTATGCAAATGTACACAGCTCATAATAACAATCCCCCCTCTCTAGCACATGATGATGAATACCACCACCCCCCACCAGGTTCCTTGACAGTAGCGAGATGAAGGTGTTGGACGGTAGAGTACGAAAGACAGAACTGGAATGGACTAGGCAGTGTTTCAAAAAAGGAGAACGCTCCATCCTTGACTACATAGTCGTAGAGAATGAGGGGAAAGAGACGGAAGTACGAGTATGCACAACGGATGTAGGCACTACAGACCATGCGTTGGTGTGGACAGCCCTAAAACAGACGAGAGTCATACAGAGTAGGCGACGCAGGAAAATGTACAGATGGAGAATAGATAAGCTAGAAGTAGAAGAAACGAGGGTAGAGTTTCAAGAAGAGATAGCTGTAAACGACAAGAAACTCTCGGAGTTGATAGAGGTAATGGGCACACCGAAGGATGCCAAAGGTCGGGACCAGGCCGGATCTAGAATCATAGAAGGGTGGGAAAAGCTGGTAAACACAACGACAAGTATAGTTCTCGGTAGAAAGTTGATAGTTTGTAAGAGAGCAGTGGATTGGTGGGACGAAGATATCAAGCAAGCAATTCGAGTACGTAGAGAGTCACACGCAAAATATGCGGCAGGGAAAACCGATACAGGATGGAAGGAGTATGTTGAAAATAGAAAGAGGGTGAAGGAGTTGGTGGTGAAGCAGAAGAAAGCGTTGTGGGAGGAAGTAGTCCAAAAGACTAACGAAGATTTTGAGGGGGGGATGAGGCAACTGTGGGTAGGAATTCAAGGGAACGTGGGCAAGAAAAGAGGGGGAGACACGGGAATAGCGACACTACGATCTGCCGAGGGTAAGATGGTAAGCAGTTCTAAAGGAAAGCGGGAAGTCCTGGTAGAGCACTACCGCAAACTTGGGACACCCACCACCAACGAAAACTTCGACTCGGAGTTTGAGAAGGAAATCAACTCGTGGGCAGAGGAAAACGTTGAAAGATCTCGGAGGGAATGTAGTGATGTAGACGGGTTGCAGGGAGAGTTCACAAGAGAAGAGGTAGAGGACTGTGTAGCGAAAATCAAGAATAGAAAAGCGGCAGGGGCTGATGGAATTGTGAATGAGCTTTTGAAACAGGGGGGGGGGCGGATGATTAACATGTTGGTCCGGATATTCAACTGGATATGGAAACACGAGTACGCGCCGAAGAGATGGAGAGAAGGGGTAGTCGTGAACCTGTTCAAAAAGGGGGATAAAACTGACCCGGGGAATTATAGAGGGATAACCTTGCTGAGCACAGTGGGGAAACTCTTTGGCAAGATGATAAACAATAGAATGGGAGACATGTTGGAGGGGAAACAAAAGATCANTTGGGGAAATCTCGAAGTACGTGGACATACTCCAAGGAGTCGCACAGGGCTGTACGATGTCACCCACTCTTTTCAAGATTTACATCAACGACTTGATAAGGGCGGTTGAAGCAGTA